TCTGTTGAAACTAGAAAATACCCTCCTCCAAATAAGAAAGGTTAAATCAGGCCTAAAACAGACTGTATCTTCTATCCAGTCCTCCACCTGTCCATAAAGAATGTCTGATGTAAGGGGTAGAAAAAGAGAGAACAGGCTATTCCAATATACTTTATTATGGGCCCAGTCCATAGATGACCTCTTCAGAAAGAATCCTCATTATAACTGACCTATTAAAGAGTATCAGTCATTTGCTCCAAAACATTCCTATGTTTAGAGCTGCAAAGGAGGTTAAAATGATGTAGAACAAAATTCTCAGTTACTGGTAAAGAAATAGGTTCAGGGAAATTTACTGATTTTTCTCAAGGTCACCCCACTAGTAAAGGACACAAGCTCTGTTAGAACCTCAGTTCTCACTCCCAGGAGCTGCTTTTCCATTGCATCACCATTCAAGATAGTACAACACTATTTTCCAGGAATTCTGATAAACTAAAAGAGAAAAAAATAAGTTGTATGCCCTTTCGGAACCCAATTCTCTTCGTGCAAGGCAATATTGAAGACATTTTTTTATTTAGAGGGCATTCAGATACATGATTATGAGATTTGGGAATGTTTATGGATGTATTTTTGAACAGAAAAAGATACTTGAACAACAGTACAAAGTAATAAGACTGTTAGATTTCCAGAGAATGCTAGAATGAGATGTCTAGGGATGTCACTCAGTTACAGAGCACTAGCCTAGCACAAGCAAAGCCCTTGGTTTAATTCCCCCAAGTCTTTAGAAAATAAAAGAAAAAAAAATCAAAACATTCTGGAACAACAGAGAAACTAGCTCTCACTGCCAGGAAGCATTGTTCCGGGTCCTGGGGGAGGAAGGGGGAGGGGGCAGTAATGAGAGTAATAGAGAGATGCTGGCTAATGAAGACCCTTATTTGAGGGGTCAGGGGAGCAGAAAATACTTGAAGCATTTCTTGATTTTACGAAGAACAAATCTGAATACCTTCCTATGCCACATACGATTTTTCTCGTTCGGTTTTCTTATGTGCCAGAAGCAATGCAAACCCAGCAAGCTAGCTTTACAAAATCAAGTTGCCCTCGTGGGAGGTCACAGGTCAAAAGCAAATCTGAATTTTGAGAATCAAACCGAGCAGCATTTCCTTCAAATCTTCAATTCTGGGGAAGGGGCACACTGAGCACCTCCAGATCTGCTACATTTTGCCAACTAGAGGTGTCCAAGCCAGTCTACAGCGTCAGACAGAGTTCAAGGCCGGCCGGTTCTCTCCCCCCCCCCCCGCCCCCCTCCCGCCCCCGGGTGACCCCCAGACCGCGCCAGCCGGGGCGCCCGGAGCCCACCCCTGCGCCCGCCCCTCGCGCTGCCCCGGGCTCCAGCTCACAGACCCCAGGCGGGAAGGCCAGGGAACGCGGCTTCGTAGTAAACCATAGTAAAGAGAGGACGGAAACAAAATGGGGCGCGTCACATGGTCACAGCCGCATTTTTCTCAATTAAAAATAAGAGGAAGCGCGCGTTTCCGGGCCTCGCTCTGCCAGCGCCGCGGCCGTTCTCATTCTTGCCATTCGGGTGCCGGCGCGCCTCATCCCGGTGGGTGGGGAGGCCCGCCGGGTGCGGGAGGCCCGGGGCGCCAGGGGGGATCTGGGGAGCGGGAAGGATTCGGGTCAACAGCGAGGGTGGTGCCAGGAGAGGCGCTCGGGAGTGGGGGGTGGAGGCACGTGGCCCGGGGATGCGGCCCTGAGCCCCGCCCTCCCCGCCATTCCTCATGCTGATTGGCTCTGGCAGGGGCCAATCAACAAGACCGCCCCGCCCGCCCAGAGCCAGTGGCCACACAGCCGTCCCGGAGAGGGGGGAGCGCTCTTTTGACACTGCCAACCACGTGGCCTGGGAAGGGGCCCGGTTGCCCCCAACAACCGACCTCAGACCGGCAGGCAGGGGCGGGAGACCGGAGGGCGGCCTCTCGGCTAGCCTCACCCCCACCCCTAGCAAGAGGGGGTAGGAGGAGGGAGGAGCAGCCAAGAGCCAAATAAAGAGGGAGGAATGCAGGAAGCGGAGGTGACCCTGGCAAAAGGGAAAGTGCCAGGGGCAAAGCCAGATAAAAAGGCCACCAGGCAGAGGAGAGAGTGGCGTGGGAGGGGGGAGGGGGAAGGGGGCATGATGCTAGAGGTAGGGAATACTTGAACTCAGGCAGGGAGAGGGCAAAATCATTTTAAGGGGGTCATAACAAAAGAATGACAAAAACCAAAATAACTGAACCCCAAAGGGCTGGCTGGGGTCTGCATCTTTGTGAAGCCAGTTCTTGTGTGCTCAGCCTCTGTGACAAATCCAGAAGTAGATGCTGACTAAAAGTAGCTGGGCTGCTATCCTAAGTTTAAGGGTTCTTTTTGGCCTTCTTCATGGGCTCAATGGAGCCTCTGCAGAGAACAGGCCACAAGTTCCACCCTGTGAAATTCTGAAAAGGGGGAGGAGGGAGAAGCAATGCGGGGATGGTGGGGAACAAAGGGAAGAAATGGCAGAAAAGCAGTAGCACAAAAATAATAAGTAGGGCAGAAGTTGTAGAACACACCAGACATGGGAAAGAGAAACAGAAAAGGATCTCGTAAGTCCTGCCTGAGCACCTGAGTGGAATGTTTTACAAATGCTCTTTTGGTAGACAGTTGAAAATAAGCAGGGATGCTTCAAAAGGGGGCCAGAAAGAAAGAGCAGACACCTCTCACCGTGCTTCAGGTATTACTTGAGAAATGCGAATGGCAAAGATAGCAATTGGGAGGAAGCCAGGCAAAGAACTACAAACTCCTGCCCTCACCCTGAGCAGGTCTGATGTCTGTTTCTTAAGATTGACTATGCAATAACATCTTTAAATGCAACAGGACAAAGTCAAGAAAGGAGAATTGAGGATGCAGATATACTAGATTGCATTTAGTGCCCACTTAAATCACAGATGCTTTACATCTTACAAATACATATTTTAGAATATATTGCTGGCACAGCTCTGTCAAAATGTGGCCTATTATCTACTCCTGGATTAAGAGTATGATTCTATGATTTTTTTTTGTAGAATATATTTAATCTAAGAAAGTCAAGAGTAGAAGATTGGGGATTTAACTTTTTATGTTTTGTTTTTCAGTGTGTCCTCTATTTGAGGAGGGTTTTTCTTTTTTCTTTTAAATCTCTTTTTAAAATGTGCCATTGGTCATCTGCCTTGTTTGTTCAGACCAAACACACTTATTGTACTCTATAAAAAGAAACCTATACAAACTAAGAAAACAAGTGAGAAAAGCTTAATGTGTATCTTTTTTGTATCTCCTTTAAAGCCAAAATTTTAACTCTGCTACATTTCTTTACTTTGAATTGACTTTGTAAATGAAGCAGTTAACAAATGTTTACAGTGTCCCAGGGATTGCAACTTCCAAAAACATTTGAAATAATCAAAAATTGCATGTTACAGTATATACAATCACATCTGTTTTTAAGCAAATAGTGAAAATAAATGTTGCAATAAATACTGATCAAAGATATGCTTATTATAATAGATCACCAAAATTCTTAGTGTTAGTCTTCAGGTACTTTTTTCTGGTTTTTACAAAACAGAAAATGATGGAGTGCTGAACACAGAATCAAAGAGACAATGGCCACATGATACACATATGTAGTGTGTGTTATTATTTCCTATGGATAGAAACTCAAGGCTACATCTAATGAATGGGCACCTATTAAGAAGTACAAATGCTCTTAAAGGCTCCTCTATGAAGAATACATAAAATCCCCAAGGTAGTCAGTTTGTGAGAATAAAGTGTTTCCAAATGTTTCAAACTCCTCATTGCCAGCTCATCACATTATTTGATGACTACACGCCTCTCTTCTACCCACAATGATGACCACCAGAAAACAGGCTCACAGAACACAGAATGAGGGGCAGGCTCATTTCCTATTACAACTGTTTTCCATTTTTCATATAGCCACAGCCACAGACAGAAGACCTGAAGTCAACTTTTCAGTATTCCTGAGGCATCTACTCTTGAACTTAAAGGAAAACAAACCTGCTAAAAGTGAAGAGTACAATTTCACCCACACAATCAATGCAAACCAAAGCAAAGCAACCTCCTTTCTGGGATTCATTGTCATTTTACAGAAGAGATACAGTAGCTCCCAAGTGATAGATCTGTGGTATCTTAGTTCAAGAAAATACAACTACAACTCAGACACAGTGGGATGAACTTCCACAACTCTTAACTCTTAATGGGCCCCAGGTGCACACAGTTTATTGCTTATCTTTTAAAGAAAGGCTGCCATACCTGAGATGGTACGATGTTTCACAAATCTCGGTACAAGAATAAGAAAACGTCACGTGTAATGACTTTCTTCAGAGATCAGAGAGCAACTACCATTTTTCTCTAAATTCCACAACAAAACAAAACAACCACACAAAAAAACCTTTTACTCCTGAATCTTTTTGCTGCTGGTTATGTTGCCTTGGTATTGTGAAATCACAGAACAAAAATGCACAGCGCATACTCGATAAGATCAGCCTTCAGAGCTCTGAGAAAAGGATCTGAAGAGTTTAGTCCCCTGTAACAACAAATATTCTTGGAACACTGTCCCTTCTAGGGGCTGACCTAAAGAGAAGGGTCAAAAGTAAACTTCAATACCAAATCGAAAGTTCAGATCGACAAACTTTAGAATTGGTATCAGAATATATAAATATATATGTATATATGTGTGTGTGTGTGTGTGTATATATACACACACACACGATTTATAAATGCTACAGTTAAGTAGTTCACTGGGGACACCCCCTCCTGTGCTTCTTCCCTATGCGTTTCTCTGACTGGCTGGCTGGTGCTTTGGTGGGGTGAGCATCTACAGGCTCCCACCCACCTTCCCCTCTTGCAAGCACCTCCTCCCCAAGGACCCAGTGGAAAGGAGTTGGGAAGGGGGCAGAGTCAAAGCACAGAATTGCAACACAAGGTTAAAAGCAGTTCCTCTTCTGACTGACACCATGAAAACGCACCTGCTGTGACGCTACTGCCGGTCCTCTGGCTGCTTCTGGAAGCTGATGCTGGCATAGGTGCTTAAATCCTCACTGGAGCGGCTGGCAGAGCGGCTCTCACCGCTGCCCACGGGCTGATGGGGGTTTGGGGGTGCGGGAGGCTGCTGCTGTGGGGGGCGCTCCGGAGGGCGCTGTTTGAAGTCCTTGACCAAATCCAGGTCTATGTAGTTAAGACCATTCTCCACACCCCCGGCGGCCCCGCACCCTTGGGCAGTCTCCTTGGGGCCTCCCCCTAGCTCCCCAGGTCTCAGCCACACATTCTCAAAGGAGGCAGAGCTGTGGCGCTTGACCTCCTCGCTGCTGCTGCTGCTGCTGCTGCCCCCCACTGCGGCCCCCGCTGCAAAGGGCACCGTGTTGCCCGCCCGGGTGGCAGCGGGTGTGGAGGAGAAGGTCTCCGAGCTATGCCTCCTCCGGCATCCTTGTGGATCTGCCCGGATCACTTTGGCACTCTGGCTGCGGTTGGGACTGAGATTCACCCTGGTAAAGGCGCTGATGGCCCCGGGTCCCTGTGGAGGCCCCAGCAGGGAAGCCCGCCCAGGCAGCTCGGCTGCTCCTTCAGGCTCACTGGGAGAGGCGGCCACGGCTGCGGAGGAAGAGGGAGCAGCGGCCGTGGCCCGGGGCAGGCTCGCGTCCTCTACTGTAGCAAGGCCGGTCCTCATGTCAGCGTAGCTGACGGGGGCAACTGGGGAGGTGTCCACGTAGCTCTGGCTGGAACAACGCATCTGCATGGTCATGTAATCGCCGCGGCTGCTGGGCACGGCCCGGGTAGGCCTGCACACGCTAGCAGCCCCCGGAGGGGCAGGCCCAGCGACCTTGGCCACCTCAACCACACCACTCTCCTGCCAGGCTGCCCTCCGGCCTGGCCCCAGGTCCATGTTCATGTACTCTTCAGTGCCAGTCTCCTCTTCTCTGGGAGCTGGCTGAAGCTGGGATGGGCACCGGACAGAAAGGCCGGAGCTGTGTGGAGCCCTGGGGCCAGAGAAGTAGCCAGGCTGCTCACTTCCAAATTCAATATTCACATATTCCCCTGGGCTCTTGGGCTCTGGAGGCTGCTGCTGCTGCTGCTGCTGCTGCTGCTGGGGCTGCAGCGGCTGTTCACGAGCCCGCGGTAAGGTGCTGGCCTTGGGGTGCCCCAGGGAGAGCCTGGTGGGTCTGGCCAGGCGGCTGTGGGTCTGCGCGGCGGTGTCCACCTTTCGTGGTAGATGCGGCTGCAGGACAGGATGGTGGGGATGGGGGAGGCCGGGCTCGGGCCGAGGCCCACAGTAACCCCCACCGAGGCTGTCGCTGCTGGTGGACGACGAAGAATCTTCTGCCGTGGTGGCATAGAGAAGGCGGCCGGAGCTGGAGGAGAGGCGGAGGTGCTGGGGGCGGGCACCCTCCTCCGGCTCCCCGGGGCGCTGGGTGTGCTTGAAGGACCTTGGCAATGAGTAGTAGGACAGAACGGGCTTGTCCTCGGGGCCGTAGTAGCCGTCGGAGGGGCTGCTGGTGTTGGAGTCGCCCACGGGGGACATATTCATGTAGTCCCCGGTGCAAGGCAAGAGTTTGCCACCGCTGCTGCTGCTGTCGGCAGGGGGCTTGGGGTGCGCCAGGGCGTGGGGGTGGTGACCCCCGACCCCATTCGTCCACAGCTTCCCGCTGACCCCGCCGCCCCCGCCGCCGCCGCCCCCACCGATGTCGGGCGAGCAGCTGCCGCTGGGGGACATCATCATGTAGCCGTTGGGGTCCACGCGCTGAGGATGGCGTCTGACGGGGTTGATGATCTGCTGGGGGGCAGACACGCTCTTGGGGCTCATGGGCATGTAGTCCCCGGTGCCCTTGCGGCCGGTGGGCAGCGGGGCCACCCCCGGGGACATGGGCATGTAGCCGTCGTCCGTGTGGAGGGCGGCGTGGTGGTCGGGCCGGGGGTGCTGGTGGGGTTGGTGGCTCCCACGGCGCTCCAAGGGGTGCAGCTCCAGCCCTTCTTCGGGGTACGAGTGGGTGGGCACGAAGGCCGAGTGGCGGTAGCCGGGCAGCCGGCCTCCACTGCCCCCTCCTGGCGGGTAGGCGGGCATCATCTCCGTGTACTCCTCCGTGGACGACTGCGAGGGGGTCTTCTGGTGGGAAATGGTGGGGGACGTGCCGGCCGAGTGGGTTCTCTTCCGGAACCGATTGTCCAGATCCGCAGCCCCGACGGCGGCGGCCTCGTCCACGGCCAGGGCCGGGCTGGTGCCCAGGCCCGCGGCTCCCGGCAGGTAGCGGTGGCCATTGCCCCCGCGCGACAGCACGTAGTGGCCGTTGGGAGCGGCCAGCGTGGAGACCCCCTTGCCACCCATGCAGATGTAGTTGCTCAGCTCCTCCTCGCCCCGGGCCGGTGGGGTGTGACCCAGGGAATCGGGGGTGACGCTGCGGAACGAACTGCGGAAGTCGCAAGGGCTCGAGCCGTACTCGTCGGAAGAGATGAAGCCGCCATCGCTCGGGGAGCCGGACACGGAAGCGCTGGATCGCCGTGGGAAGAGACAGTCCGAGGTGGAGCCGTGGCCGCTGGTGCTACTGGACGACAGGCTCACGGGGCTGGTGGCCGACGGGGAGCACCGAGAGGGCATGGGGATGGACCGGCTGTGGTTGAGCGGGGGGTGCAGCCGGGAGCTGCCCCGATGGCGGTGCGCGTGGGTCCGGTTGATGCTGGGACTCACGGGGCTGCCGTCCACCGAGGCCGGGCGGGACATGGTGCCTTCTCCGTCGCTGGAGGCGCGCACGCGGAAGGAGCCCGGCTTCCCGCCCACCATGCTGGCCGGGGAGGTGGCGGTGATGCTCTCGGTGCGCGAGCGGCGCGTCAGCCCCACCTGGCTGGGCGGGGGGTTGTTGAGGTGGTGTCGGCGCAGGGGGACGCTGATGGGGTTGGAGCAGTTGGAGGACGACTGGCTCTTGCTGCGGGGCCGGAACTCGTCGCTCATGGCCCGCATGGCCTCCAGGATGGTCTCGTGCATGTTCTGGGCCACCACCGAGTCATCCACCTGCATCCAGAACTCGCCGGGCCCCGTCACGGCCGAACGGCCCACCTCGATGAAGAAGAAGTTCTCCGAGTGGCCGCAGCGGCGGATGTTCATCAGCTGGAGCACCACGGCGGCGGCCTCCGAGTTGAGCTTCACGAAGCTGATGGTCTTGCTGGTCAGGCAGAGGCGGTAGATGCCGATCAGGTTCTTTGTCTGCCCCAGGCCCTTGGGTTTCAGGATCACCTGCCAGACCTCCTTGAAGGCGGGTCCCGGGGGCGTCTCTCCGAAGCTCAGATCCTCCCCGGCTTCCCCCACGCCCGAGCTGCCGCTGCAGCTGCCCCCGGCCCCGGAGCCCGCGCTCCCGTCGTGGTGGTGACCCTTGGCCCGGGTGTGCAACAGCAGGAGCGCCTGATACCAGCTGTCTTGCTCGGCCTCGCTATCTGCCGCAATGGCAAAGTGCTCGTCTCGGGTGTAGAGAGCCACCAGGTGCTTGTTTTTGGAGTCGGCCCGCTTGTTGATGTTAAAGCAGCTCTCGAGGGGGATCGAGCGTTTGGGGGCGCTCGACTTGTGCCGCCACTTCTTCTCGTTCTCGTAGTACTCCAGGCGCGCCGGGCCCCCGGCCTCGCTGGCCGCCCGCAGCACGAAGAAACGCTTGTGCATGCTCTTGGGTTTGCGCAGGTACCCCACCTTGCGCACGTCCGAGAAGCCATCGGCCTCCGGAGGGCTCGCCATGCTGCGGCCGCCGCCGCCGCCGCCGCCGCCGGGCGGGGGCACCACAGGCCGGCGCCGAAAAACAACCGAGCGGTGGGGGGGCGGTGGCTCCCGGCTGCGGCCCCGCACATGCACCCGGGGCTGGAGGCGGCAGAAAGTCCCGGCTGCGAAATCCACACTGGGAAGCGGAGGGCGGCCGGGGGTGGGAGGTGGGAAGGAGGCTGAAGGAGATCGCAGTGGCTGCGCCAAAGGGAAAAGAGCGAGCGAGCGAGCGAGCGAGAGCCCGCCGGAGTTTTAAGGCGTTTCGTGCCCCGGGGAAGGGTGGAGGGGTGGAGGCAGCCAAAATGGTCTCCCCCTCCAAAAAAAAAAAAAAAATCCAAGTCTCGTCTCAGCCACTGCAGCCAAGGAAGGAGCAAAGCCGCATCTGGTGTGGCTGCCCCGCTCAAGTCCCGCGCGCGGGGAACGGCGGCGGCCCGGGGTCGGGGGCTCCAGGCGCGCGCGCGCCTTCTCTCTCCCGAGTTCCCCTCTGGAAGAGGCGATTCCCGAGGCAAATTAAATATCCTTGGGCAGGGGGAGGCGGGCTGCCAAGTCCCAACGTTGCACGGGGTTCTCCCTCCTCCCCCTTCTCCTCCTCCTCCTCCGTCTCCTCCCACCCCACGCGGCTCCCCCCCCTCCACACACACACACACACACACACACACACACACACACACACACACCGCCGCCGCCGCCGCCGCCGCCACCAGCCGCCCAAATACCAGCTCAATCGCGGAGACCGCGGCGCTGCGGCTGCTGCTGCGGCTGCCGTCGCCGCCCGCGGACGCGTCCTCTGCAGCCCGCACCGGGGCCCATCGCGGCGGGCGGGGAAAGTGGCTTTTCCACGCCAACGGCTACGGAGCCGCCGGGGAGGCTAGGGACAGCAGTGCGGAGGGACCGGAGGCTCATCCCTGCCCCTGGCTCCGGTGGGCAGGGAGGGAGGGTAGGGGTGCGGGAGGGAGGGAAGGACGGGGGGGGGGAGATTTGGGAAGGATCGCCAGTTCCCCGAGAGGCTCTGCCTCTGCAGTTACTTCTCCCCTCCCTCCTCCTCCACCTCCTCCTTCTCCTCCTCCTCCTCCTGCGCGGAGTTGCCGAGCCCCAACCAAAACAAGCGGCGGCGGCGGCGGCGGCGGCGTCTGGCTCCGCGCGCCCGCCGGCCCCCTCCGACCGCGCCGCCGTCTCACTCAGTCCCGGGAAGCAAAACACGTGATGGAGCCTCAGCCTTCGGCAGCCCGGCCGCCGCCGCCGCCGGGAGGCTCCCGCCCGGGTCTCCACATTCCGGGCCGAGCCCGCCCCTCTCCGCGCCCCCCCCCCCTCCACCACCCCCGGCGGTGCCGCAGCGGCGCCCGCGCCCGGCCTCGGCGCAGCAGCGCGCGCGGGCAGCGCCCCTGCGCGGCGGGCCGTCCCGGTGCAGCGATCCCGGCCCGCGCCACCCAGGGCGCCCCCCTCCCACCTCCCCGGCCCGCAGGAATCCCCTGCGGCGGGCGGACGGGCGGGGGCGGGGGGGAAGCGACGCAGGGAGGGGGGATGTTTGGGTGGCTACCCGAAAGCACGAGGGGAGTCTGGGAAAACGGGAGGGGGGCGAGCTCGGGAAGACGCAGGAGTGAGGGTGGGGGGCGGCGGGGGGAGCACTGCGGCTGTGGAGCCCCGAATGCGAAGGCCCGGGAGGAGGGAGGGGGCGCGGGGGCGGGGCTGGCTCCCACGGAACAGGTAGGAAGGAAGACCCACCCCTCGGGAGGGGGCTTTTTTGCCCCGGGCTCAGGAAATAGGAAAGCTTGACTTGGGTTTCAGGGTCCGAGGACACGGAGAGGCGATCGAAATGTTCGGAAGGTTTTTCTAAGGGACTTGGGAGCCATCCCTTCGCCTTGGACCCCCCCCCAACCCACGGGTTTGCGCCTTAGTGGTTCCACGCCAAGGGCAGTGGGGGGGGGGGTGTTATGGTCACTATGGACGGGGAGGGGCGGAGGGGGGTGTGGGGGTGTGGGAGGCCGGGATCACTGGAGGCAAATGTCTCACAGCCGGCCCTGGGAGCATTGAGCTTGCAGATCCTTCGGGAAGAACATATCACCAATAAGGTTTCCAAAAGAGCCCGGACTCACATCTATGGGTGAAGAATGGGGAGTGGGAGGGGGGGGGAGGAGTGGAATAAAAAGTGCCCCCTTATCCAATGCCCAAAGCCATTGGTGAATGTCAAAAAATAAAACTGTTCAAAAGACCCCCTGGGAGTTCCTGAGGCCAAAACCCTACCGTGCAAATATGGCTTGAGATGTTTGTGTCACACACTACTCCCACACCCAAGGACGATTTTAACCTTGACCGCGAGGGAGGACGCTGCCCGCGCCCCGGCTCCGGAGCAGGGGTCTTCTCGCAGGGCACACCAGCAGCCTGCTGCGCGGACTCGCTTTCCCTAGTGGCACCATCCTCACGAGCAAATGCTCCCCCAAACTTGGCTTGTTCTTTTCTTTTTGGGGTGACCTGTAAGCAGGCCGTTTGCCCCTGGCTTGCCCAGCTGACCCTGAAGACTTACAAAGATGACGTGGGTCTCGCTGTGCAATGCTATCTTATTTTTCCCACTCTAGTCCCTGGCTCTTTGCAGGGTTTCTGCCTTCCTTTTGAAAAGCGGAGAGCCTCCTGGGGTCCCCGCTCTCCCGCACTGCAGGAAAACGCGGGGAGACGCCGCAGCAGCACTCGGCGCCGGGCGTGCTCACCGGCCAGGACCTGCCGCCTGGGCCACCGCACTGCTCACCCCGGCCTAAGGCGGCCGAGGGGGCGGGCGAGGTTCCCGGAGCAGCCTGCTGATTGGTGGAGAGGCTTGTCTTTCAAGCCTTCCACTGCAGCGGCGGTGGGGGCGGGGGAGAGAGAGTGAGGGTACTAAGGTAGGTTGCAAAGCGTAAGAAAACAGAAGAAAAAGAACCGCAGGCGCCATGCAGCTGCTTGGGTAACGGGAATTGGGGGTATCCCGGGTCTGCAGAGCGGCTTTCTCCCGCACGAAACCCTGGGAGCCTCCGGTTTCTCCTTCCTGTCACCTTCCTGTGATCTGCAGAGGTGCAGCCTCTTGTAGACCTGGTGAATTTAGGATTATTCAAGTACACATGTGGACTGGAAAGCCCTCCCTTCTTTTCCTCTGACAGCCTGGTGATGCGGGCGCACGTGCCCACTACAGCCAGGCTATAAATAGCAGATCATTTGGAAATGTAACCAGGCTGCATTTACAAGGATGGAAATTCAGAGAGTATCCAATGCTTTAAGCTTCTCCCCCACCCCACCCAGAGGGCATGCAGAATAGAAATGGCCAGAAGTTAGGGCAGAGGTGTAACTGAGTGACAGATCTTACTCAGCCCCAGAAAAGGAAGATAATAAAGGAGCTGTTTAACTAGTAACAATGTAATCTAGGTCAGGCCAAAGGGCTTTTTACAGGTTTGTTGTTTAGCCCCTAGGGACAAGGGCAGGGAACAGATTTTTCACCTTCTGTAGAAGAACTGTTCTAATTCATAGACTTTCACTTCTTTTTTTCTTTTTGTCAGTCCTGAGGCTTGAACTCCTGGCCTGGGCACTGTCCTTGAGGGTCTTTTGCTCAAGACTAGTGCTCTACCCCTTGGAGCTACAACACCACTTTCGGTTTCTGAGTGGCTAATTGGAGATAAGAGTTTGCGGACTTCCCTGGAGCTTGGATTACAGGCGAGAGCCACTCACTTTTTAAATGACCTATTTCCAACCTCTTACCCCCTCTTCAAAACACACACACACACACACACAAGACCAAAACAAACAAAAAAAAGCAAAACCCAACCCCAAACTAAATAATGGTAATGGTAAACATTTTTTTTCCTGAAAGGGACAACTAGGCAATAACCTAATGTACAAATACTTTGCATTTAGTCTTCATGGGGGGCAGGAGGGGGGTAGGACTGATTGAACATATAAAAGTAATCTGTTGAGCTTTTTAATGTTTTCTCTCACAGTGGTAAGAGATTTTTGCTTTAAAAACACAATTTGTGTGGATAATTTGTGGAAGAATATTGTAGCTGAGGGTGTCAGTCAGTAGTAGACTGTTTGCTTAGCATGCCTATGACCCTAAACAAAACCAAACAAAAATTTAATGTGAAATTAAAAAAAAAAGAAATTACCTATTAAAGCACTAGTGGACATTTTTATAATTGCATCAATGTCAATGGGGGAGAAATGTTGATAACCATGTTAATTTATGATCAAAAAGTAATATGTTAACCATTTCAAAAAATTAATGTGACTTATCTTGTTCACAGCAATAGATTTCATATGGAAGGCAATCACTAATCAGGGTGTCCTAGTTATTAATGTTTTACTACCCACATAGCTAGTATTTATTATAATTATAGTAAATTCACTTGTTACATTTCACTAGTAATAGCTTGAGCTAACTATAAAATGCAAATTCGCACTGGGTTCATACAGTCTACAGAGCAGAATGAGATGCTTCGTGGAATCTGACTGGAGTGATGTTGAGCAGACACATGTATTATCCTGTCACCGTATGCCAAATTAGTCTTCTGGTATACTCTAATGAAATACACTGTAGGAAAATTTACTCATAACTGAAAATTCACAGCAACAGAAGAGCAACCCATTACCTAAATATGTTGCTCAATGCTGCCACCTATAGGGCAGTTAGAGCCGTCTGTGCAGTAAGGAGGTAAAGTGCGTTTTGAAAGGCGGTTGCAACGATTCACTAAAGTCACTGCCAGGAGTTACATTGATATAATGAACACCGCTATGATTGCAAGAGTTAGAACTGTACTGCCTCTGCTCAGTGCTGCACAACTGTAATACAAGCACTGCAGCAAGAGGCTCCCAAGGAGTTCAAGGTCAAGCCTGAAATTCATAGTGAGTTCCAGCCTAGTTGAGGCTGTGAGACCCAGTTTCACTGGTATACTCTGGGACAATATATCTACAATTGGATTTAAAATGGAAATGATCACCTATATATCACAGGATCAGGAAAATCA